GCGGCCATCTTGAAAAATAGCCCGACTGTCAGGGAAAATGTACCGTCCAGCGGCCATTTTGAAAGAGAAAAAAAGGAAAAAAAGGAAAAAAAAAGGGCCTACTCCTTGCTATTTTTCAAAAGACAGGATGCTAAACATGTTTTCTTTTTAATTTGGCCCAACCTGTCTGAACTGATTCCTTAGAAGGGCCAACCATGCCAAAGTCTATGGATTTCTTTTTAAATGGCTGACGCCTGGACAGCAATCCGCAAGAGCTCAAAAGTAAGACTAGACTACACTGTCTACAGGTGAATGTCACTCTGACTAAAAACCAGTTCAGACTAAAGCAAATTTATACAAAACTTGTATAAAAAACATCGTTTAAAGAATCATAGAATAACAAAAAGAGCGCACAGACTATGGAAGACAACAAGACATTGATCTACATCTGCCACACTCAACCCAGGTGATATGTAAATGGGTACCTGGCAGGAATTAATTCTTTGAAATGCTAGAGCACCGTAATGGCAGCACAGCTAAAGCCGGGTAATAATCTCCAAGTTTGGAAGCGCTTAGAGACTTAATCGTAAATTGTGCCATATAAAAGCTGAGTATTATAATTATTATTATTATACATACGATGTGACTTTCAGATTACAGCGGACCCTGATTCTTTATCAAATTTTGTTCGAAACGTTGCTAAAACATGTGTTTTGCTTATACAAGTTTTCTTCAAAAAACATTCAGACTAGGAAAAATGCCATTACCTATCGCGTATATACAGGACTCATACAGCCATAGTACCATGTTCCTGTAAGTCAGAACGCAGATTGACTGAAATCTGGTCCTCCCATCTCCCCATCTGATCTATCAATCAGTGAGAAGCAAAACTGGTCCAATAGGTGGCAAGGATCAAACATTCAGGGACAAAAGATCATCTTGAAAATAAACAAATAACACCCATCACCGAACAGGTTTACATGGGCAGAGAGAGGCAGGTGCTTTTTCATTCCGTTTGATGTCATCTGTACATGCTTGCTGTGCATGGAGAACAAAAATGTTTTTGCCAACATTTTTGCCAGATGATCACAAAAGTTAAAGGCAAAGCTATATGAACAAATACTCTGACAAGCTCAGTGCTGCATTCTAAAAATCATTCCCATCATGACTATCACATACCGTATCATATTATTCATAGTTTATGATAGAAAACCAAAGATAGAAAATCATTTCAAATATAAAGCAGATCAAAGGGTAAGTTTTATGAACTACAAACCAATGTAAAGAAATTAAAAAATACCTTTCAAACGAAATTGTGACAAATGGTTTGCTCACGATTCTTTCCATTCCGATTTCTCTGTAGCTGGTAAATGTATACAGACATATCCTTATTGCTTGTAATCAACTGATAGCAAACTGAATTACTTCCTCTCTTCCCACTCCAACCCACCTGTCTTCCTATTACCAGTGTAATAAATGACCATTAAACTATATTGATGGGTTCATTAACCAAAGTACAATTGAAGCAGATTTGTAGGGCATTCTCACAAGTATTTGATCATAACAATTCTGATGTAGTAACAAATACATGCACATTTCTGATCACATTGTAATTCAAGGTTTAAACATATGATTTTACACAACTTGCCTATTTACTGATTGATGTACTGAACTTAAGTTTGTATATTTCTTCAGAACTAGAAATTGTTAATCTGTGATTGCCCGGCCCAGAGGAATATCTTGGTCAAAATGCAGCAGTGCAATGGTGAGTGCCTAACCAGTGCAATGCTCAGACTAGGAACATTTCTGACTATACCGGTGTTAAAGCCTGTCTGCACTAGTTTGGCCAGGGGAATTAGACCTCCCTGCAAGGTCACTGACAGCTGGTTATCTCATCAAATCAGCTCTCAATTAAAGGGGAAGTCCACCCTGAAATTAAGTTAGTTTTAATAGGAGTAGAAAAATGAGAGAAACAAGTCAGTGAAAGTTTGAGCAAATTCCGATTAAAATTAAGGAAGTTAGGATTTTTTAAGTTGTGATCAATCAAACACAAATTGGCAACTCTATGACGTATCATGCGAGCTCAACTTCCATTTGCTCAGTACTAAAAAAATCTAAAATTTTCATTTTCCCTCAAGAAATATTTCAACCATACATGCACCCTAAATATAATAATTGCAAATATGTTTCTATACTCCCCCTGCAAGGAACAAATATATATTCCGTCATCAATAACGAAGAAAACATGATTTTATGGAATATTATGCACAAAGCAAATGAAGGAGAGCTCGTATAATAAGTCACAGAGTTGCCAATTTGTATTTGATTGATCACAACTTCAATAATTCATAACTTTCTTATTTTCATTCAGAATTTGCTCAAACTTTCACTCACCTGATTTTCTTTTTATTATGCCTCTATCGAAACAAACTTATTTTGGGGGTGGACTTTCCCTTTAACATTAGAAAAAGTGGATCATGCATGGGGGACCAACAGGAACCGATAAGGCATAGTAGCTGTAAGTAGTGCAGTGGGGCTTTAAAGGTACTATGTCCCATTTGCAGGCCAAAAAATTGAAAAGGTTGAATTCCAACGGCATTAGAAAGATAATACTAATTTTAGAACTTCCCTAAAAAAGGTGGGGCTTGAAAATGTCTTCAAGTGGGAAAATAACGACTATTAGTTGTCAAATCGACCTAGGAGCTATAGAGCCAATAGGTAATAGTCTTGATTTTCAGACCATAGTACCGAATGGTCATACGTTTTATGCTGCGCAAAGATTCAATCAATTTAATTTTGGCCATCACAAGAAGTGGGTTATTGATGTAGACAAACGCTCATATACCCTTTACAGCTCATTTTATGTATGTTATTACCAAAGAAGAAAAAAGCCAGTCAGTCACTCAATAGTGTCTGACAGTGAAGTCTAGCAAGTTAACGGGTTTCCTTGCATAATTTTAATTTTAGGACACTGCTAACGTTCAAATTTCACAGATAGGACATACATAACATATTCATAATTCCTGCAAAGTTCTACAGAATTTGAGGATGGCTGAAAAAGGGACATAGTACCTTTAAAAGTGTGGTAATGAAACTAATCAAGACTGTAATTTGCAATATAGCAAGGCCATTGTATTTTGTTAATTGGTGTCTAACATTTGTGCAAAATTGCATGTGTGGCACATAAGCACCCACGCAGAGAGGCGAAGTAAGCAACCAAAGGGTTTTAGATAATTTGGAGAGTGACCAAGACAAGATGAAAAAAAGAAGAAAAAAGAAGAAAGGCCAGAGTGTCCTCAAAATCAAATCATCTGACCTGAACGTTAATAAACAAGATACAGATGAATTAAACAATTTATTGACACTTGTCCTCTTTTCCTGCTGTTTGACTTATCTACCAGATCCATTCCACCTAAGCCTCTTTCAGAGAGAAAATATATATCCTTGATATTTCCTTTGGTTTATTCATCCAACCCATTTACAATAGGAACAGATGTTACAAGCAGGTGCTTAGTGCGCTTGTCTTCTTCCTTGCAGACTGTTTCTTCTTTTTTACTGGAATCGGAAGGAATTATTAGTTTCCTGGTTGAAGAGCCAGGCGAGTGCTGAGAAAACATTTAGAGTCATTTGCATTCTGATGGTGGGGAGGGGATGGAAGATTGATCACTGTGGAACAAGGCAGTGCATGAAGAAGAGTACCCCCCCCCCCTTCACACTGGGAAAATTAGGTGTTAATTGTACTAAATGATAACCAAGATGTTTATGAAGAAATAAGTGATTAATTTGAATCATGTGAACGTGCCCCATAAATATGATTTGTAGCAATGAGACATAAAGCTATTCAGTGCACTGAGCATAATTCTAATGAAAGCCATGTAAAAATATTGATACAGTATGCAGTTTATTATACCTGGAACGTTAGAGCATTACCAGTAGTAAAATGCCATCCTTCAAATTTCAATACCTCAAAGGTTTCAAGTGGTTCTAGAGGTATACAAGTGGTAGATTTGTAATTCAACATACTGGTACTATTTTGTGATGCTCACTGCTGCAGAAAAAAGACCGAGGAAAACAAGAGTCCCTGGGTTAACGTAAAAGCAGAAATTTACACCAAGAATCGTATTATTTTGTTTCCCTTGTGTGAACAGGTTCAAGGGCAGAAAGAGGTAAGCGATGAAAGTGAACTTTTGACCGTGACACAGTGGCCCAGTGGTAGATACATCTTCCCATCCCTATTTAGGCTGTTTACGTGTATGCGTCTTTGACTAGGTTTTGTTTTATATCTATGATGTTCCTATCTTTGTTCTGTCTTTGATAATAACAATATTAATAATTATGTTGAGTGTAATGTGATAATGTCTATGTACAATATGACTTTGTTTTCTTTAGTATATATACCTCAATTTTGTTAAACTTTGTTTTCTTCTTTTTTTTTCTTCTTTTTTTTTAATGATAATCTTTCTATGTCTACATAAGGACGTGAAGAAATCAATTTAAATATGAATTAGTATATTCAGTTCATCAGTAAGCACTAAATCAAGGGCAGGGGCTGCAACCAGTGCCCTTAAACATAAAATCAAGTCACTCGCAACAAATATATTGTACCTCAAATCTGGCTGCCATTATACCATGCATTGTCTCTATATGACATAAACTTGATTATACTTTGTGTAAAGCTACAAAAGATTAGTTTATCATCATATTCAAATATACTTTTGGAACAAAGATTTTTCTTGACAACTTGAAAGCTTGCCCAAGACTTGCCCAACATAGCAACAAGTAATATATGCAGACCGGAGTATTGTAGTTCATACATTAATAACAGGTCAATGTAATACCTTTTCACTAGGTTCCTAGGAAAGAAACATCCATAAATGTAAGTTAACCTCTATTGACTAAAGGAGATATAATTGATATTCGGGGAGATATAATCGATCATGATTCTTTATCTTCCAGGGCCCAAGAAAATCTTGTTTCGATATCACAAGAGGGTTCTTTGATTGATAATTTTGTTTACTTACCAATATGGTTACTGTGAGTATCTTTAAGCCTTGTATTATTCCAGTAGGATTTGGACTTCAGTGATTCCTCTGTTACTTCTTTTTAATCCTTTTAGAATCTGCAAGATAGAATTGAGCAATAAAATGTTATCTCTTCATTAGGTCATTTACACAGCCCACCAATTACAATTTTATAGTGGAAAAAAAAAAACATAGCAAGGAAAGAGAAAGTGAACAAGAGAAGGGGGAAATATAAGGAAAGAAGAAGCCCATACCACATCCTGCACCCTTCCCCTAACCAGTAGCCTTGTAAATTTGTATAGCATTTTCCAAGTAATGCCACCCCCACCCAATATTAAATAACACCCAAACCCTTTTATATTTTCTCTTTATCAATTCATATAAAAATGCAGTTGTTTGTATTCTGAATTCTCCCCTCAATTTTTTTTGGGCTTTGTGTCAGCTTCTATTGGTCCACACAAAACCTCAAAATGATTCATTGCAGAACTAAAGTGAATGCAGGCAATTAAAAGATCAAATATTTCAATTTTCTTTTGATTGGCGTTGGTCAGCTTGTTGATGCAAGTGGTACTGTCCCTTAACACCCCCCCCCCCCCCCCATTCACTTATCTTTATTCACATTTGTAAAGTCAACAACATATTTCAATCTTTACATATGGTTGAAATTAGCTGTGATGAATGAGAAAAATTCAATAATCAAATATATTCAGGAATATAAAATTGACCATTTCCAGATTCTTGCAACCAATAGCCGGATTGATCTTGAAAAAGGGGGTTTCCCATGGCATAGGGCACACCTCTAACAAAGCTCCATTTACACTGCATGCAAAAAACATCACTTTCCGGTGTTGTGTCGCAAGTTGCTAAGCAACTACCAGCAAACACAACAACAAAAATCCACCTCTAGAGAAAAACACCATTAGAAATGTCACTGATTTTCACAGTGCAAATTAATACCCACTCTTGAATGATTGTGTTTTGTTATCATGCGACTCTCCTCCTTTCCATGCCGTCTCATGCAGACGGAGCAGCATCAAGTCGCACATGTGCAATACCGGTACTCACCCCAAAATTGGAAGGAGCAAACATTGGCAGTATTTTATGGGTTTTACCTGTGGTAGAAATGGCAGTCCCCAAAATCCATGATTTTTCAAAATAGTGTATGGGCTGTGTAAATGGGCCTATTGTTGGGCCGTCCCCCCGACGTGTTTGCAGGATATATTTGTGTAGGCTTATAAATCCTAGAAATCAGTAATAACGGTCAAATAAATCCGCAGGGTAACAGAGAGACTTGTATAACTTGGGTAAATAAGTGAGGACTAAACTTGACGTAGAAGAATGCAAAAGTGGAAAATATTATTCTTGAAGTTCTCCTAACTTGAACTTTGGTCACTTATTTCAGATATCAAATTTCATTAAACAGGATAAAAGATCAAGTCTTTAGAATTATGAATAATACTCATTCATCTAGTCATAAATCTCTCTGAAAATTCTTCTAGACAGAAATGTAATGAATTGGGTTTTTTAATAGAAATTTGCCTCTTGCCTCTTTACCTCGTTTTTAATTATCAGAGTGCACAAAATGTATGACTCAGGTGGGTCTTTCCTGTTTACAGTACTTATAATTTACATCATACATTTTGAGAAGTGCACTATAAAGAAAAGGAGGCGCTTAAGAGAAAAACAGAAATAAGTGATATTTTTTAACACACAAACGGGAGAGTTGTCTGTGAATATGTCATAACCCATTGACAAATTGTCAGTTTCAGAATTGCATAGATTTATTGATGTCATATTTTAAACATTCCTAACTCTCTTATTATTTTTCTCTTCTATTTCTCACATGTTCTGTCTTCATACAAATGAATTTATTACAAAGGTTGTATTGCCCTTTTATATTCGAGTAACTCTTAGGTCAGTTATTTGAATCAAAACGTGTAAAAACAATTGATAGGAGTTCAAAAAAGACGTGCAAATGGATTCCAATGGCATTCCAATGAATTTCAATTCTGTCTTATCCTTCTGGTCCTATTACTATGAATAGCATCCTACATCAAAGGATAACATGAAAAAATATTTATTTTTTATTTTTACTTTTTATTTTTTTAATTTTATTTCAAATACACCAACAATAATCTGAGCATGCAGCTCGTCTCAAAGGACTATTAGTACTAGTATCAAGCCATCAGTCAAAAGATAACCAACAGAACAATGATCCAATGCTCAACATGTTTTAATACTTCATCTGTAATTTAGAATGCCAATTGTTTCCTAGACAGGGCCATAAATATATTGTTTTGGCACTACTGAATCAGTACTGATAGCTTTCTTTATTTGATCATACAAATCTTTATGATACAGGTAATTGGGCTCGAGACCTTGTACACAGCAAATGGCTTGCTGGGAGCGCCGCACATATGTAACATCTATAAAGTCATCCCAGACCCAGGTCATATTTACCTGATGCTCCAGTCATTTGATGGATCCATGCTGGGATTACCAATTAAATCTAAAGCGAAACAACGCTGATGAAACAAACAAAAAACTTGAGGAAATCCTCTGCTTGATGACTGATGTCCTTATCAAGCTTGCAGAGTTAATAGAATACAAAAGAACAATGCAATGTGTCCAGTAACCACGTACGACTGAACAATCGTACGTGCGGGCAAAGAAAAAAAATCAATGTTATCACTTCATCAATTGTATGACGATACACCTTGAAGGGTGATTGATTTTTAGAACTGAATGTAACTTTCCTGCTTCAAGGCTGGATACACACAATCATGACAAAGGTTTATTTCTACTGCACATGTCTAGGACCACCCTTAATTGAGTGGCACAGTGACAAGGCGTTAAATACAGGACATCCTCATCCCTCCAAAATGTTCCATTAACATTTATTTATGTAACAAAAGAGAGGAAAATACAATAATGTGGCTGCCACTTAATACAACACTTAATACAACTCTGTTGCATAAGTTTAGATATTGTGGCTAGAACACGTGACTGTCAATGTGAAGTTCATAAGTTTGAACCCTGACATAGCACTCAAGTCCTCTGGATCTGCATTTGCTACTCATGAGTTTTGCTAGCGTCTCTAGGTGTACTAAGGGGAAAGCTGGTATGTTTTGCATCTCAGCGTATACGTCTAGGTGCTGATATGTAATGGCTGCCATATCCAACGAAGACAAGACAAGTTTTGGAATTTATATGCACTATGCAAAAATATGTATCAAAATTTAAAATAAAATAAAACAAGTGGACAGTGTTCAAAAGTTTTCAGTACAAAACAACAACAAAACTACTTCAGTCCAATGCAAAAGAAAGCTTAACAGTAAGCAGACGCTTTTTTCTGAGTATTTAGGAATGCTAAAATATATAAAAAAAGTACCATAGCACTTGCAAAATTTCCAAACGTGAAGAGAAACATAAAATACATAGACTCATAAAATAGATATATCACAGTATGGTCCTTAGGGAAATAGTATCTTTTGCATTGTAGGTCAATTTACACTCAGTCTATTCAATTCAAATTGAACTGGAAAAAAGGAGGAATTTAAAAATCACTTTATACAATTTCACATCTAGTTGGCACCGAGATATAGTCATTCTTGATAATCTCACAACTATAATGCTATCCATGGGCTGGTATTAAAACGCTTTAGACGCTGTGCTTTTGAAAGCATAACTTGAATAGAGTGCATCAATAGTGTAAACATGGGCATAATGTGAAATGCCCATGGCTGGTAAATGAACTGTGACAGATGCCCTGGTCAAATGGGTTTGTTCACACACTTGAGTAAATCTCATAAATTTGGGGAGATTTGTTTTGTGAGGCGATATTCAGCACACCTTCCCAGTTGGAAAGTACTATTATTTCAATGGGACAGTCTGTTTTAAGAGGCACAACTGGTAGCATTGATGATTATTAATTTGCTTACCTTGTAGAGCATCATAAATAATTACAGACCTTCAAGTCTTTAGTCCAGTCTGTAAGATGGCAAGAATATTACCTTGTAGCAATGGACTCACGGAGTACAAACTTCTTTTAAAGGAAAACTACTAATAAAATGTCTCTGCTTGAACTACAACCAGTCCCATGTCAAGTAACTAACCATGCATGTACAGAACTACAGTACTAGAGTTTCCGATAAGCCAATGATATATAATTAGTTTACACACACATTCATGGTTGTTATTAGGCCATACTAGGAAGCAGGGTAAACTTACCCTTTCACCTTGACCACCGCTTCCACTAAACAAATGTAAGGTCACATATATATATCCTAAATCCTGGGCCAGGATGTGAATAGGCTATTTTCGTAATGTAACCAAACTTTACTGAAGTGCCTGATACAAATTATTTCATTCAACTGTTAAGAATAATCTCAATGGGTGGTATTCTCATAAGTTAAGCCAGGACAAGTCCAGACTAAACAAGAATTTTAGTTCACACTTCTATGGAATGCTAGGTTTCATCTTCCTCCTTCAATATTCATGACAAAGATAATCTACCAAAGACTTTGTTGAAATTCAGTTCATACTCATATTATCTTTTTCTTCCCATTTCATTGCAAAATTAATTTTTTGAACACTTTTCATTGAAGGATTAAAATAATCTGTACGGGGTAAATTAGTTTGCAACAGGCACTCCATAGAAGTGTGAACTAACTAAGTACGCGCTAACTTAGTACGCGCTACCGGAATACCACCCATTATAGATTGCAAATTGCATATATCATGTGTTGTTGGGTAAGACAAGCCCTAATGTTATCCTACCTCGTGAAAATTAATGTTGCAATGTGTATTCTGACTATTGAGATACAAATATTCTGATCAGTGGAATGAAATAATTTATATTGAGGCACCTCACAAAGACATATGCATAAATTTGGTGACAAATGAAACATTAGCCATGTTTTTGTGATCAGTATGCATGGAGCTATCCAAGCAGTCATGTAGGATGCTCCAAAATATGCTCATGAAACAATTTCTTTTGCTGGCTATATTTTATCAAGAGAAGTCAAGAAGTAAATGCCCAGTTTATTAATATATTCTTATGTATACATGTTCCTCTCAGGAGCTACAAACTATTTGGTTCACCTGCTATTCAAAATGGCATCTAACGTATGCATACAATTAGTAAAACCATCTATTGAGTTTTAGGTTAGGTTTAGTATAACTAGGATTTGGGTTACATATAGTGTTTGGTCCAGTGTCAAAGTTAAGAATACGGTTAGTAGATATTGCCCTCTCAACAAGTGTCACTAAGGCATGTGCCGTAGTACAGCACCAGTGTGAGGACACTAGATGTGTTCATTTTTTATATTTACACTAAATTCATATAAGATAATGAAAGGGACATCAAAATACCTTCTGTTACAACCACCTGCATGTTTAGAAAGACCACCAGCCTATAAATCACATTTCTGTTTCCCTTTAATATAGTTCATCACTGGTACATTTCCAGAAGCATTTAAGATTGCTAAGGTTGTTCCGATATACAAAAAGGATGACTCTTCCCAAGTCTCAAACTATCGCCCTGTTTCTATTCTCTCGAGTTTGTCCAAAGTATTGGAAAGACTTATATACAATAGGCTATATTGTTTTCTAACAGAAAATGACTTACTGAATCAGGATCAATATGGTTTCAGGAAATACCACTCAACCGATTTAGCCCTTGCACAATTATATGATAAGGTTTCGAATGCTTTGGCGTCTCGAAAGCATGTTATTGGTGTATTCATGGACTTAAGCAAAGCATTTGACACTCTTGATCACAAGGTACTATCAAGCAAACTTCATTATTACGGAGTAAGAGGAGTTGCTCTTGACTGGTTTAATGATTATTTGTCAGGTAGAAAGCAATATGTAAGCTACGAATCTGTAGATTCATCATTATTGCCTATGAAATGTGGTGTCCCACAAGGATCGATACTCGGTCCTTTATTGTTTCTACTGTATGTTAATGATATCTCGAACTCAACTACATCATTACAATATATTATATTTGCTGATGATACTAATGTGTTTTGCTCCAATTCCGATTTTCGATCACTTCAGAGAATTCTGAACACCGAGCTACCTAAGCTGTCTTTGTGGTTTAGGAGCAACAAATTGTCTCTGAATCTGAAAAAAACTAATTATATTCATTTTCAAAGCAGGAAAAATGCAACTGATAAACCTATACCTGAAATAGTCTTGGATGGTGAATATTTGGAGAAAAAACAAAATACTAAATTTCTTGGAACTATCATCAATGAAAATCTGAAATGGAGTGATCATGTACATTACGTTTCAAAGAGAGTGTCACGCACTGTTGGTTTACTGTATAAGTTAAAACATTATGTGCCTTTGAATATTCTATATATGCTATACAATTCCTTGATTCTTCCTTACATGTCTTATTGCAATATACTGTGGGCAGACTCAAAAGTATATACTGATAAAATGCTACTTTTACAAAAGAAAGCGATTCGTGTGTGTACCAATGCTGGATATCGCGATCACACTGATCCCCTATTCGCGAGGTTAAAAACTCTGAAAGTAACTGATATTAACTTTTTACAAAAAGCACTGTTCATGTTCCGTCTACATAATGATTCCCTACCTTCCCACTTCCCACCAATGTTTTGTTTGAATAGAAATATTCATACATACCCAACCAGACAATCAAATAAATACCATTTATGTAATCCTAAAACAACAATGGCTATGAAATCTATAAGACATTCTGGTCCGGATATTTGGAACTCACTGTCCGTTGACATCCGTAACTTGAAGTCAGTATATACTTTCAAGAAAAGTGTGAAATCAATTTTATTGAGCAAATATTGACAAATCTCTTAAATTAACACATGATATCATATATGTTTGTCAGCATTTCCTTGATATAGCAGGAAAATCCCCCTCCCATGCACCCTCTATCCCATTTTTTTTTTTTTGGTTGCAAGTCACTGTTTATTTTTTGTTATTTTCCCCCAATTATGTTCTGTAATTTACTTTACTTTACAATCGTTATGATTTTAAATGTTTCTGGGCTGCAAGCGTATCAAGCTGTCACGCTTAGGCTGTAGCCCTTCTGTATCATCACCTCTTCGAGCGTATGTATCTATGATTTACTGAATGTGGAAATGTAATTTAACTTATGTTTTATACTCATGTAAAGACATTGTCACATTATTGTTATAACCTATGATGATTCAGTAACCAATAAATATTTCAACTATTTCAACTATTAAAAAGAACAACCACTTGTCTAAACAACTTTTACAGACCAGTTTTCTTGTCTTCTCTGAGTGGTCTTTATATGTATCACTTATTCACCGTATCTTTCACATCAGAATATCTCCTAGATGGATCTTTTGACATGATAGGAAACAATCATCAAACTATTTCATTCTAATTTCCTCTTTGCTCTCAAGCCTTCCACTACTGAATATTATCTTCAAAATCTGCACACAAAGTTTGAGGGGTCTAAATACATCACTGCTCTTCTAATAAAAATTTCAATAGATCAATAAATGGAATATTAGGATTGTGATTTGATTTGAATGTAACGAGCAGGGTAATAATCATTACACTAATGGGCTGTGGAATTCCATCCATCTATCCATGCCCCCAAGGAGATCCTGACAGTGCTACAAGGATGATAACATGCCTTAAGGTGTGTTCAAGCAACACTTTTTCACCCTAGAAACACAGTTTTCAAAGACGTTTAGTTTAAAACTTGGTTGCGTTCAAGCGATTTCAAGCAATTTTTTTTGTCAGTCGTAAAAATAAACGTGTTTAAAAACGCAACCATGAAATGCTGAAAAAGATGCGTTTTGTATCGTAATTCTGCAGAGTCACGGTCGCTAAAAACTGCTTGAATGAACGGAGATCTCAATCATGATTTTATAACGCCATTATCGTGGCCTGCTTCCGGTTTGGTCAACATTCGACCGCAAACAAATTTAGAAAGCATACAGCGAAGTTGACCTATACTTCCTGCACAGTGTGATGAGCAGTGCATGGCTAGGCTTGAAATGAGCGAGAATCAGCGTTGATGAAAAAACGCTCAAACGCTCTCCCGCAGTAACCATGTTTTTAACAGCGTTTTGATTTATGATTCTAGCTTCAAAAAATTGCTTGAACGCACCCTTATATTACTGGTAGTTCTTACATGTCCTTGGCAGAGCTAAGTCCTCATGGAGCCAGGTATTACCGGTATTATGAGGCATAAGCATGATAAGCGGTCATTACGCTAGAATTGTAATACTCCAAACGGATATCATTGAGGTTTTATTGCTTTCAAATGTACTATAAAAAACTTTTCAAGTGGAATGAAAGAGGGTCAGGCTTTCGCAGAATTCTACATATGAATAAAGAATGGCAAGATTTTCAGTGGCACCTTGGTTACTCGGCAACAAAATAAATACGATATATAGCTGATTGTATTAGGAGTCCTAGATTTTGCAGTAGAATGAAACTTTCATAATTCATTTATTATAATATATATATATATATATATATATATATATATAAACTATTAGTTAAGCATTTTAATCTTAACTCCTGACGCTGCATGCACACAATTTCTGGACCCAGTCCCCGTCTGAAATGTCCAAGTCAAACCCAGATTCTGCAATGACTATAATGTGAATGTAATCACAATTTAATGAAAATAATCACCATAAAAAAGGCATATCAAGTACCTTAACTCTTTATTCACCACAGATCAAAACACTGGACAGCTTAAGCTCTATACTCGGTGTAAAGTATACCAGTTAACAACCTTTTTGCTCCAAACAGACAATATTGTACATGTGACGAAAGTCGACTGTGGCAATCCTGTATGTCTGTTCCAGAGCCGAGGTCAACCATGCAAGGCCTGTGAAGGGTTCCAGAAATCAACAGATTTAATGAATTTAAAAGCTCTTCACAAACAGGCACCATTTTCTTGATGATGACACTTGATAGTAGTACAATATATCCCTCTTCATCAAAATAACATAATCTATGCATTGCACAACCTACCTATTTCTGATGAAGAGAAATGGCCTTTGCATGTTTGTGGACATAAAGCACTTTGGTGAAAATTAGCTCCAAATCCTAGCAACAGAGAAAGGGGCCGAAGAAGAAAACTTTACAAAGACTAACCCTGTTCGACATTGAAAAACCGTACATATCAACATACAAAAGAGAGTGTCCCAATAGTTTGATTACTTATAGGCTGCATGTAGGCCTACAGCCTTCTTTACATTTGAGACATTGCCTTTCCTTGATAACAAATATAGAATCATTAGAATATTACTTTACCAAAAAAGTATAATTGTGCACCAAGTGGTGTGGTGTCCGTTACAAACCTTGAAATGATCTCCAGGAGTTGTCCAAAGTCTGTTCACTTCCAAAACTCGACCACTGATACTCAACTGAAACGTACACACAGTACACACCACCACCAGAGCAAACTTTACCACATGCAAAATGTAGTCCAAGTCTCAATGTACAAGAAAGAAAGTCTGAGCGACTTGCCAGCCAAGCCAGCGAACATTCGTGCACACAGATGAATAGTTGTACAGTCGAATGTGAAATAACTCCCTGGTAGTGGCAGTGACAATACCTGTATGTTCTAATAATGGATTCTTTTCAAGCTAGCCCGCAGCAGCCTGTCTGTGTACTGCACTCTGTGTACCTTTGGAATCACTAAAGAGACAGACATGGAGAGAAAGAGATATATAGAGAGACAGACAGAGAGACAAACAGGGAGAGAGAGAGATAGAGATAAACAGGGAGAGAGAGAGATAGAGACAGGTAGAGAGGGAGAGAGAATGAGACAGATATGATGAGCGAGCAAAGAGTATAAAAGTTTGCAAACAATGAATTTTGTTTCACCTCCTTCCTGGGCGACTGGCCGTCTCCTAACGCCCAGCAGGTGCAACAATCCTGAGTAAAACTGAGAATCCTTGAGATAATAAGTCAGAAGAAGAAAATAGCTCTAAAGCTAACACTTGAGAGGTCATTGGAGTTAGAATCAATCCCTAAAGTGTAGAGGAGCAAGCGAGAGCGAGGAGCAGACAGTTTGCTTCTTTCCTTTCAGCTTGGATGAAATGTTGCTTTGTAGTCGGGTGTGAAACGCTACTTCAGGACTGAAAGCAAAGTTTCTAAAGTCGCTGTGAAGTGTTGGGATCAGCTCGCAGAAAGGCACTGAATGAGAGAGGGAATAACCCCACCTGGGTTTAGCGTAAAGGCATGTAGAAACCTAGTCTGCAGGCACAGACCCTTGTCACTCGCTGTCCGTAACAGTGTCTGCACTGTGAGACTATGTTGACAGCATACTTCATAGGCTCTATACTTAAGCTGCTTCAGACACAGCTAGAGACTAACAGAGCTAGGCTCTGCTCAAGGCTTTAGGAATTGTGGTAAAGTGTCAAATTAGGGTCTGTGTCTGCAGACTAGTAGATACCCTGGATCTGATGCTTTTGAGTGGTAATGCTTAGCTTGGTGGATATTGAGACTTATTCAGGCATGAACGAGGGAGGGGGGTATGGATCACTTTTTTTTAGTTCAAGGGGGGGGGGGAGGGTAGTTACCACCATAAAATTTAAAATTATCTACAAAAAGTGCAACTTGGCAAAGAAACAACCAAGATGACTTTTGCTTTTCTTTGTAATGATAAACAACAAATGTTCACATCTACAGTAAAATAGACCAGTTGCTTCAGATCTGTTCTTGGCATTGTTTCACAAAAGAGTCATGAGGACAAGTTCACTGACATCATGTTGACATACATGTTGATTTCAATACACACATTTCAATTGGATGTCGGTGAATCTGAATTTGGACTTCATGAAACAATGCCCTAATCTCCACTATTCTGGTAATGAGCAAAGAAATAAAAGGTTATGCCTATTCTGTAGCTTGTTTCTGAGAGTCCATAATACGTACATGACTTAATTTACTTTGTGACATGAAAACTTGCTGAAAAGGAGTTAGACTAAATGAATAATGCTTTTTTTTTCACATCCATTCATTAGACCCCTTCCTGTGTGGGTGAAGATGTAGTCATTAGGAGTAGTACATAGAGGTTTGAGTCTGGGCTCACACAGATCAACACATCTCCTCTAGGATCGATGCTTTCTATATTTATGAACAGAATGGCAGGAGAAATCAGAAAGCACAGAAATGTAACTCACTGCATTGAACAAAACCAAGGTAAGAAATATAAACAGCAGATATGCTGAGCTCAAGCTCCCTTAAGGTAGACTCGACCCTCTGACTCGGTGGATATGAAAGGGGTTGTTGAAGCTCCTGTAAGGTAGACTCGACCCTCTGACTTGACCCTCTGACTCGGTGGATATGAAAGGGGTTGTTGAAGCTCCTGCAAGGTAGACTCGACCCTCTGACTTGACCCTCTGACCCGGTGGATATGAAAGGGGTTGTTGAAGCTTCCGTAAGGTAGACTCGACCCTCTGACTCAGTGGATATGAAAGGGGTTGTTGACGTTACCCTATGTTTGTATGAGATATGTGTGACATCATGTGATGTCATGTGAAGTCAGAGCAGGGGCTGGGGTGGTAAAGCACTTTGTCAGGTAATTAACAGGAATCTGAAGCATTGCTTGATGTAAGTTGTCTGAATAGATGGAAGGATGGAAGGGGGAGAGAGAGAGAGAGAGAGAGAGAGAGAAGTAGCCTTGTCAGGTGCAATGTATAGAAGCCATGCTAACTAACTTGCATCTAGAGGACAGAAAGATAACACGGAGGAAAAGGACAGCGGGCTGAAAATGGAAGATGAAAGTGAGGAAAGGAGGGGCAAGCGAATAATATGAGAATAGGAGATTTAAGTTTAAGGGAGAAAGAAGTGGAGCAGTAAAAATAATGGGTGGAGAAAGAGATGGAAAAAGGTAAGAAAGAGGAGAGCAAGGGGGTAAAATAGGGGAGAGCGAGGGGGTAAAATAGGGGAGAGCGAGGGGGTAAAATAGGGGAGAGGGAGGGGAGAAAATAGGGGAGAGGGAGGGGAGAAAATAGGGGAGAGGGAGGGGGTAAAATAGGGGAGAGGGAGGGGGTAAAATAGGGGAGAGCGAGGGGGTAAAATAGGGGAGAGCGAGGGGGTAAAATAGGGGAGAGGGAGGGGAGAAAATAGGGGAGAGGGAGGGGAGAAAATAGGGGAGAGGGAGGGGGTAAAATAGGGGAGAATGGAATGGGAAGGGAAGAGGGAGGGAAGGGAAGAGGGAGGGAAGGCAAGAAATAAGGGGAGGGGAGATGGAAAGGCGAGAGGGGGCAAGGAAGATGGCAAGGGGAAAGGGGAAGGGGAGAGAGAATGGAATGAACCAGGGAAATGAAAGAGACATATTAAAACAGAGAGGGAGGAGAGAGTAGACATACATATCTATGTCTTAATGTAAATCATTTTTACGATTCTTAGTGATAATTGCCCCAAATTCATCTTTTCACCAACCGATCAACCGGTCATTCTGTAATATTCAATTAGTCATCATTCCCCGGGTCGTCATTTAGCCTCTGAAGTAGCTAGTTTGCGTAAGACAAAAGTTAAGACAAAAGCTAACACATGAAAAAGGGTGAAATTTGAAATGCTATTGAAATTTCCCTTTTTTTTTTGCAAATGTTCTTTGATGGGATGTACAAGTATAGAATAGAGTAGGGTTACAGAGAGCATACAGCATACCATCTGTTAGAACCAGAAGGGCAATAAATAATTATTCTAACATATTCTTCAGGCTTTGAATGGACAAAATAATCAGTCAATAATACTTATATGCACTAATAGTGAAATTCATTTGTGATCATAAACTTGCTGCTTCGTGGGAAATTTTTGTTTACAAAAAAGAGAGGGGGGGGGGATTTTGATGATAATTCTAAGATAATTCCTTGAATATTCTTATTATCTCAAATCTCATTAATAGGCCATTTTCATAATGTAACCTTTTTTTTTTTTTTTTTACTTCAAGTGCCTTGACACGAACGATTTTATTCACCTGTTAAGAATAATTGTATTTCAATAGTCACAATGCTAATTGCATATGTTGTTAGGTATGGCAAGCCATAATGTTTGTCCTACCTAGGAAAAACTTATGTATGCTTTTTTATATTTTGATTGTTGAGATAATTTGTATCAAGCACTTCACAAAGGCATATATGAAAACATTTGATTACATTAGAAAGTGACCTATTGGTCTTTAGGTGAACTTATCACCGGTCTTTGGGTGATCTTATCGCCAGTCATTCTATTCCTTCTTTTGCCTGGGAAAACATTTAGATGGGTAGGAGGCCTCCATAAGGTAGAGTGTGAAAAAGATGGTTGATTTGACATACCCCTGATGCTGTTGCTTGTTCATCTGATGACAAATGTACTTATCAACATGATGGAGATGTGAGAGATTGGTCTCGAGGTAACGCAAACACCATCACGACTTTTGACAAATCAACTCAAGGACATTTATTCCACAAAAATCATGTTCCCATTATGTAATACAGCATTGTAATGTTCAGACATTTCTAAAGGTGACAGACAGGACTAATAAAATTGCCTTAAAATGATATTTTTTTATAGCAGTCAATCCAATCATGATTACAGCATTTAAAATAGCCAAATTGGTCCAAAAAATATATTTTCTAAATTTTCTAATTTGTAGATACATAAAATGTGCTATGAAAATTGAACTCAATACATCCCCACCCTGCCCCCTCAAAAGGAGGGGGGCTGTGCCTCTGGAATACCTGTGGCTTAGGGATATCATACAATTTAGAGGTGATTAAAAATGTTATCAGTCACTGATAAAATTGCCATAGATAATTATACTGCAATAAATAGGCCATTTTCATAATGTAACCAAATCTGTACAGGGAATAATTTTCCTGGTATCGCATCGCAATTTGCTATGCATTTTTGCATGACTGCTATACAAAATATCTTTTGTGTAGCAGTTTTCTTCCATAGAAATGTACAGAATTGCATTTGAAATATTTATCCATCGGCTGAAATTGCTAATCAAAAAATTTGAGGAAAATTATTCCCTGCTGTATTAGGTAATACAAACTTTTGGTATGGGGTCATGAATTTGGTTCAAATCAATGAACATATTGGAAGCATATGCGATCCTATAATATTCAATGATCAGTGTCGCGGTTGAAATAAAATCTTAAGTGATAAAATTGTAAATAATAAACTCCTTATGTTGAATAGCTCCCTCTCAAGGTCAAGACATTAACCAAAATGGACCTACCGGTATTGGCTATTCCTGTTTCAAAATTATATATCAACTACATATTCTGAGATTTTCATGGTTGCAGCTACGATGGAATGGCCGTAGGCGCTATTGTAAATTTATGAAAATTTACCAGGAGGACCAGTAAATTTTGATATTCAATTTTTCTCAAAAGCAGAAGTTTTTTACGGGCTAAACTTATGCATTTTGAATTCTGACTGTTTAATAATTCTATGCATGAGGTGCATCACAAAAGGATATGCATACATTTGGTTACATTACATATACTTCCCACATGAACTTGTTAATAAAAATTCAAATTCTGAATGGGGCCAAGATAATTTTACCAATGTTCTGTAAATGTTAATCATTTTGATGTCTCACATACAACAGTTTGTTGATGGTTTCAAATATATTCTTATGACATCTAATTTGTGTGTTTATGTGTGTGAATTGCCCTTTAACATATTTCCCACAGTATTTCTTTTTTTGTAAAAAAGGAATAATATCCAACAATTTTCCTTCTCATGTATTATAGAAATGAAAGTATTTTCAAGGAAACAATATACCTCAGATTCCATGATTGTTTTCTAAACTAACAAAATGGATTACTGAGCATTACCTCCAGACAGGTGTCTAGATCACAATCCAATTGAATTAGATGTTTGAACAGAGATCAAAATTAAATAATACCATGTTTAAACTTCCTAAATTGAAAGACAAACAGCGAGAGGTGAACGCAAACGTCATAAATGACAATAGTCTTCTATTGAGACAAGCTAAATGTAGGTTACTTTAGTCTGCCCTCAAGGCCAAAATCATTGTGTTCATTCTTCAAACTAAACCAAACATTAACAAAGTTATATCGCATATCAATGAATGTCACTTGGCTGACTCTTGGAGTTTTCTTTCTCTGTCTCTCCATCTTTTGTCTCTTATGCTGTTAGCCTGCCTTGTAGGTGGAA